AACTAATTAATGGAGAAAATAAGGATTTCAAAGCCAGAGCAGTCAGCAAAGACTTGCATGTTGTTGTTGCTGTTAGGTGCCGTCGAGTCAGCTCTGACTCATAGTGACTCCATGTACAGCTGAATAAAACACTGCCTGGTCCTCTGCCATCCTCATAATCCTTGCTATGCTTGAGCCCATCGTTGCAGCCACTGGCTTAATCCATCTCACTGAGGGTCTTCCATTTTTTCACTGACCGTCTACTTTACCAAGCATGGTATCCTTCTGCAAGAACTGATCCCTCCTCCTTACAACATGATCGAAGTAGGTGAGATGAAGTCTGGCAGTTCTCACTTCTAAGAAACATTCTAGCTGTACTTCTTCCAAGACAGATTTGTTCATTCTTCTAACAGCCCATGGTATTTTCAGTATTCTTTGCCAACACCACAATTTAAAAGCATCAACTCTTCTTTGTTCTTCCTTATTCATTGTCTGACTTTCATATTCATACGAGGCAATTGAAAATACCACGGCTTGGTTTTGGTGCACGGCAGTCTTCATAGTGACATCTTTGCTCTTCACTTTAAAGAGGTCTTTTGCACCAGATTTGCCCATTGCAGTATAATACCTGATTTACTGACTGCTGCTTCCATGGTATTTATTGTGGATCAAGAAAAATGAAATCTCTGACAACTTCAATCTGTTCTCCATTTATCATGATGTAGCTTATTGGTCCAGTTGTGAGGATTTTTATTTTCTTTATGTTGAGGTATAATCCATATTGAAGACTGTAGTCTTAGATCTTCATCAGTAAGTGTTTCAAGTCTTCTTCACTTTCAACAAGGCTGTGTTAACTAAATATTGTGGGTTGTTAATGAGTCTTCCTCCAGTCCCGATGGCCTCACTGTTCATATAGTCCAGCTTCTTGGCTTATTTGTTCAGCGTACAGATTGAATAAGTATGGTGAAAGGATACAACCCTAATGCACACGCTTCCTGATTTTAAACCATGCAGTATCTTCTTGTGTTCAAATGACAGCCTACTGGTCTATGTACAGGTTCCTCACAAGCACAATTAAGTGTTCTGGAATTCCTATTCTTCATAGGTCATCCATAATTTGTTATGATCAACACAGTTGAATGGCTTTGCATAGTCAATAAAATACATATGATAAACAACATATGAAAGCTGAACAGTGAATAAGGAAAAACGAAGAAGAATTGATGCCTTTGAATTGTGGTGTTGGCAAAGAATCCTGAAAATACCATGGACTGCCAGAAGAACGAACAAATCTGTCCTGAAAGAAGGATACCAAGAAAGTTCAGGTATTCTTTGCTTTCAGCCAAGATCTGTCTGACATCAGCAGTGACATCCCTCGTACCGTGTTTTCTTCTGAATCCAGCTTGCATTTCTGGAAGTTCCCTGTCAGCATACTGCTGCAGCTGTTTTTGAAGTATCTTCAGAATTTTACTTGCATGTGATATTAATGATGATGTTCTATAATTTCCACATTCTGTTGGATCACCTTTCTGTGGAATAGACACAAATATGGATCTCTTTCTGTCAGTTGGCTGGATAGCTGTCTTCCAAATTTCTTGGCATAAATGAGTGAGCACCCCCAACACTGCATATGTTTGTTTAAACTTCTCAGTAAGTATTCTGTCAATTCCCAGGGCCTTGTTTTTCACCAGTTGCTTCAGTGCAACTTTGACGTCTTCCTTCACTACCATTAGTTCTTGCTCATATGCTACCTCCTGAAATAGTTGAATGTCAGCCTTTTGGTACAGTGACATTGTATATTCCTTCTGTCTTCTTTTTATGCTTGCTGCATCATTCAGTATTTTGTCCATAGAATCCTTCGATACTGCAACTTGAGGCTTGAATTTTTTCTTCAGTTCTTTCAGTTTGAGAAATGCTGAGCGTGTACTTCCCTTTTGCTTTTCTAACTCCAGGTCTTTGCACGTTTCATTGTGCTTGAACAATTTCTCTTAGATCAGCACTAGGTCAGTCCCTAAGAGACAGAGGTTAAAGATGTCCCAAATGTCTAGACTACCGTGCTACCCCATCATTTCAGACATCAACTCCTCCTCCTCTCAGTAATTTCCCCCATCTTAGGGTTCTGTATTTTCACTGTAGTGCCTCACAGAACTCACAGACACCCAAGGGATCGTCTCACATAGTGGTGGTGGAGGCTGGCAGGCTGGCGAGTCCCAGGTCTGTGAGTGGGTCTGGAGGATCCTCTCAATTCTCAGGGTTTGACGAACCTCGATCAGCAGATCAGATGACGGCTGCTGTCCCAAATCCAGGGGTGAGATGAGGATGAGCCAAAACACAGAACTGGAGCAAGAGGAGGGGGGACCTTCCCAGGAGATTCACAGGTATACCCTCAAGGAAGCTAAGGGTGGTGATTTGAATTATCCTCTCCAGCAAGGCAGGACTCAAGATGTATCCCACCTGTGTTGAGCCAATAGAAATAACCCAAGTGGACAGCTTTAACAATCAGCAGCTACTCAGTTGCTCACAGCAAATCCCACCACAGAGCCGATTGCTGGTCATTATGGGGAATGACTACTACCAGCTGCCCAGCCAAGTTGACACCGACCTTAACTACCACATCACCCCAAGCAGGATTTATAATGCATCACAAAATGGAAGACAATGGCTAGAAGGGCCACATTCACCGCACATCATGATACTTTACTTGGTTGTGTCCAGCTGCTCTCTGAAATCTTCTGTTCAGCTCTTTTATGTCAGCATTTCTTCCATTCACTTTAGCTATTCTGTGTTCAAGAGTGTCTTCTGACATCCATTTTGGTCTTCTTCCTTTCCTGCCTTTTTAATGACTATTTGCTTTCTTCATGTGCTGTGCTCTTGATGTTATCCCAGCGCTCACTTGGTCTTTGGTCATTGGTGTTCAGTGCATCAAATCTGTGTTTCAGGCGGCCTCTAAATTCAGGTGGGATAAAATTAAGATCGTATTATGGCTCTTGTGGACTTTGCAGCCAAAATACGATCTTAATTTTCTTCAGTTTCAACTTGAACTTGCATATGAGTAATTGATGGTCTGTTCCATGGTCAGCTCCTGGCCTTGTTTTTTTTTTTTTTTGTTGTGTGTTTGTTTATTATATTTGTGATTTGGGTGAAGATTTACAGAGCAAATTCACTTTCCATACAGCAGTTCACATATACTTTGTCTCATGTCATTGACCACAGTTTACCACAATGCAACAGCTCCCATCCCACTTCCTCCCCATAGTTACCTCTTCCCAGTGTCCGTCCCTCCATGCATTCCTGCCCCCTGAGCTGTCTCTCTGTGCATAAGCAGCCCTTCATTCTCCCATGATTGATCTCTCCAAGGAGTGTATCTACTTGAGGTAAATGTTTAACTCATATGAGCTCCTGGCCTTGTTTTGACTGATGATATTGAACTTCTCTATCACCTCTTTCTACAGATAGAGTCGATTTCATTCCTGTGTATTTTGTTTGGTGAGGTGCCTTTTATGTTGTTGAGAATAGGTATTTTCAATGAGTAAGGTGTTGGTCTTACGAAATTCTATCACACAATCTCTGGCATTATTTCACCCAAACCTTATTTTCCAACTACAAATGATTCTTCCTTGTTTCCAACTTTCTCATTCCAGTCACCAGTAATAATCAATACATCTTGATTGCCTGTTTGGTCAATTTCAGGCTGCAGAAATTGTTAAAAATCTTCAATTTCTTCATCTTTGGCTTTAATAGTATATAAATTTGAATAATAGTAATTTGAATAACTGATCTTCCTTGTAGGCCTATGGATATTATCCTATTTAAAATAGATCTTGTTCTTGTTGTTGTTGTTATGTGCCATCGGGTCAGACCCGACTCATAGCGACCCCTCCTCCTTGGGTTTCCAAGGCAGTATCACTACGGAAGTAGATTACCCCATCTGCCTTCTGAGGAGTGGCTGGTGGGTTTGAACCGCCAGCCTTCTGGTTAAAAGTCAAGTGCCTTAGGCACTATGCTACCTGTTTTTGACAATGTGGTGCCATTCTGCTTTAACTTATCATTCTTCCATCATACATCGTATGATCGTCCAATTCAGAATGGGTACTATCAGTCCATTTCAGCTCACTAGTGCGGGAGCTCTGGTAGCATAGTGGCTAAGACACTTGCCTGCTAACCAGACGGCTGGCGGTTCAAACCCACCAGCCACTCCTTGGAAGGAAGGTTGGGCAATCCTACTTCCATAGTGATACTGCCTCGGAAACCCAAGGAGGGGTCGCTATGAGTCGGGTTTGACTCGACGGCACATAACAACAACAACAACAGTGCTTTAGGTATCAACCTTTATGTGTTCCATTTCACTTTTCACAACTTCTAATTTCCTAGGTTGATACTCTATATTCCACATTCTGGTTATTTCTGCAAACTGATGTTTGCAGTTATTTCTTCATGAGTCGTGCCACATCAGCAAATGAAGGTCCAGAAAGCTTTACTCCATCCACATCATTAAGGTCAACTCTACTTTGAAGAGGCATCTCTTTTCCAGTCATACTTTGAGTGCTTTCCAACCTGAAGATCTCATCTTTTGGCATATCTCAGACATCGTTTCACTGCTATTCATGAGATTTTCAGCGGCCAGTTTTTTAGAGGTAGACCTGGCTACAGCCTTATTCCAAGTCTGTCTTAGTCCCCCATGGATGACCCTCCTGGTATTTGAAATATCAGTGGCATAGCCTCCAGCATCACAGCCACCACAGTATGACAAACTGCCAGACAAGTGGTAGTTGTACAGAGTAGGTCATAGTAAAATTTCCCTGTAGACCCTGTTCACTTTTAGCATGTGGGAGAATTTTAGAAATAATAGAGGAATTAGAAGAAATGCCTGTTAAAAACCTTTGTTCATTACTGCTAGAAGGACTTTTTTTTTTCAGCTTTAGTTCTGACATAAGAAATTGAGGTCCTGGAGTAAAATACTTACTCTTACAAAAAAGTATTTGAAGTCATAGTTTATTCATAACTGTGCATTTATGTTTTAGGTCTGCAGGTGCCCCTGCTGGTTCAGGCACTGCCTCAGGCAGTAGTCGAAGACTGCAGCAGACACAAAACCAAGTGGATGAGGTATTGCTCTGAAATGTTGGAAACATGCATTGCAAACAAACATGGGAGCACACTGGAATAATTCTGTTTAGAAAAAGTGTCATAAGAGTATAAATGTAAAATACATTTTGACAGTATTATTTGCTGGGTGCTGTTGAGTCGATTTTGACTTATGGTAACCTCATATGACGGAGTAGAACTGCCCCATAGGATTTCTTAGCCTGCAATCTTTATGGAAGCGGATCTCCAGGTCTTTTCTCTCACAGAGCCACTGGGCGAGTTTGAAGTGCCAGCCTTTTCATTAGCAGCTGAGTGCTTAACTGTGTGTCGGCAGGGGGCCTGACAGTATCAGAAATATAACAAAACCGGCCCCCTATTGTCTGAAAGCCCAGATCTGAGCAGAAGTCAGACTTCTTAGTTTCATGCCTATTTTCCTATAACTGTAACCATATTCTAAAACATACATCCTCCTTGAAAGTGTTCCCTAAGGACCACTGGCTTGGAAGGAAGGTTGGGCAATCTACTTCCGTAATGATACTGCCTTGGAAACCCAAGGAGGGGGTCTCTGTGAGTCGGGTCCAACTCCACGACACACAACAACAACAACAACAAAAACCACTTTGTAAAACAGGGTTATAGAATTTTACAGATTAGGTTTTCAAATCGCTCAAGCCAAGAGTCTTTCTGACTAGATTGTTCATCAAAATGCTTTGTCTAGCCTGAGTTTCCCAGCCTGAGCAAGTCCCTGGAGAATGTGTCCCTGACTGCTGCCCATTGACACACAGCAAGCAGACGCTGGCAAACTGCTGTAACCCAGCAGATCTGTATTTGTAGAATTCTTGAGCTGGAGGACTGTCAGAGCGTCTTTTGTTCTTCACTGTACATGCAGAACCACAAGATTGCTGGAGAAATTCAGACTGTTACTTCCCAAGAAAGATATCCTGGTCTTTCTGCATTTAGTTGCCTTAAAAAGCAAAGCTAAAGCTATGTAAGAGATTCTTATTAAACCATATAGTAATGTTTTGATCTAATCATTTCCTTTATGAATGTCATTCTGAAAATTTCTTATTTTCGTGCTAAGAAACCCAGTCTCATTCTGTTCTGCCTGGAATTTTTGTTTATTTACAAAATCAAATTTCCCTCACCCCCTTTTTTTTTTTCAAATGAAAGTTTGGCCCAAAGTAATAAGTGCTGACCTGAAAAAAATGTGTCAGTAGATTTTATTGGGAATTTTTGTTCTTCCATTTCTTTCTGTGTAACTTCGTGTGAATATATCCTTGTAGGTGGTGGACATCATGCGTGTCAATGTGGACAAGGTATTAGAAAGAGACCAGAAGCTCTCTGAGCTGGATGACCGTGCAGATGCGCTGCAGGCAGGAGCTTCCCAGTTTGAAACAAGTGCTGCCAAGTTGAAGAGAAAATACTGGTGGAAAAATTGCAAGGTAATTCTCTTCTAACTGATCTATACCCTCTGCCACCCTCTCTATTCTCAGGGATAGATGATGGCCACAGATCCTGTACTTCTTTAAATCTGCAAGTCGGTTCTACTTTCCACATGTGGACATTTGGATTGACTCAAGCCAAAACACTGACCAAATACCATTGTCCTATTCCCCCAACTAGGAATTCTCCATGTTTTGTGGCTGACCTTAGGAGTGTGTAAGGAGCTCTGGTGGTGTAGTGCTTAAGGCATTTGACTGCTAACCAGAAGGTTGGTGGTTCAAAGCCACCAGCCACTCCATAGGAGGAAGATTCGGCAATCTGCTTCCATAAAGGTTTGCCACCTCAGAAACCCAGTGGGGGTCACTATAAGTCGAAACCGACTCCACAGCAGTGGGTTTTGGTTTGGTTAGGAGCATGTGGAACAGAAATTTCCCAAATCAGTCACACACATAGCCTCTTCTGACCCCTCCTCCCCAGCAGAGCAGGAGCTCTGGTAGCATAGTGCCTAAGGCACTTGACTGCTAACCAGAAGGCTGATGGTTCAAACCCACCGGACACTCCTCGGAAGGAAGTTGGGCAATCTACTTCCGGAGTGATACTGCCTCGGTAACCCAAGGAGGGGTCACTCTGAGTTGGGTCCGACTCCACGGCACATAACATAACAATAATCCTATGAAACCCAGTCTGAATGTTGTGAGGAATGTCCTTTGTTTTTAACCCATTTGATCATCTGTGTTCCTTTTCACTCAACTTCATCCATACAGAGATTTTGGGGTCTAAGGCACTTGACTGCTAATCAGAAGACTGGTGGTTCAAACCCACCAGCCACTCCTCGGAAGGAAGATGGGGCAATCTACTTCCGTAGTGATAACTGCCTTGGAAACCCAAGGAGGGGTCGCTATGAGTCGGGTCCAACTCGATGGCACATAACAACAACAACAACCCTAACAGAGCCTGGGACAAAGGCTGGAATTGGTGGTTTGTTTGCATGTGGTGCTATGAATGGTCCCAAGATGGAGGGAAGGTGCTCTGGAAAGCCACTGTGTGCAGGACCAGAAGAGTAGAAAGTAGCCACACAGGGCGTGACCTAAGTGGCTTTCACACAGTCGCTACAGACATGCGCCGTCCCTGCCTTCTTGAGAAGTAACACTTGCAGACACATGGAACAAGCTTCCTTATGTGGAAGTAACCCTTATGTGGAAAACTTGTGTGCACAGAGAAATGCCTACCTCAGGACCAGAGATCATTTGAATGTGTTATGAAAAGCAGATAAGTACCCTTTAGATCCTAATTGAGATCATTAAATTTAGGCTTCAGAAATTAAGAATTATTTCATATTGTAGTATATCTTGATATCTCTTTGTGATTAGAATAATACATTGTTCGGTGATACTTTTCAGTCAGCACACTTTTGACATGTGAATGGAAATTTGTTTCATTATAGATGTGGGCAATTGGGATTAGTGTTGTGGTCATCATCATCATCATCATCATTGGTGAGTCCCTATAACAGTCTTCTTTATTACACATTCACAGTGAGTTTCGTGGACAAATAAAAGTTCACCAGAAATACTAGTTTATTCTAAGGTTTTTACATTTCTTTAGTAAATTTTTACCATACTTCAGTTTGTATTAGATTTTTTTTCTGAAATTTTTGGTGTAGACATTAATCCTTTGAAGAAAGAGAAATGTATTCATTTTTCCCTCTAAATATATTTTCATCGTATATTTCTTTTTAAGAGAAGCAGTACAGTGTGGTGACTGAGAGCAGAGGCCACCTATGATTGATCCAGACTCTCCTACCAGCTAGATGTGTGGCCTGGGGCATATGTAGGCAGTCCCTGCATTATGAACTAGATCACGTCATAGCTGTGTCTTTAAGAACTTGTAGCTAACTCAGAACAGGTGCATATGGTTCTTGGTTAGCCTTTAGTACAAGAAAGGAGCTCCGGTGGTACAGGGGTTAAGACGTTCAGCTGCTAACAAAAAAGTCGGTGGCTTGAACCCACCAGCCCTCAGTGGGAGAAGGATGAGACAGTCTGCTTCTGTAAAGCTTTGGAAACCCAATGGGGCAGTTCTGGTCTGTCCTGTATGGTTGCTATGAGCCGAAATCATCTCAAGTGCAGTAGGTTTGATTTTTTGACTTATGCACAAAAAGATTCAAAACCTTTACAGTAATTTGAAAGCTGCATGTGCAGCAATTGAAGGTGATTGTTATGAAGAATTTGTTACCAGTAGGGGTTAGTTCAGTCATTCAAAGTGAGGGCAAATTTATATAACATTAAAGGGCAAGTAGGAGTTGTCCTAAGTCAGAGTTGTAACCCAGGGACTGACTGTAATTTAATATCTCTGAACCTCAGTTTCTGCATTTGTAAAATAGGGAAAATAATGGTACCCACCTCCTAAGCTTGTTATGAGTACCAAATTAGCTGGTATAGAAAAGTGCTTAGGCTGGTCCCTGACGTACAGTAATAACAATAAACGTTTAATCAAAACCAAACCAGTTTCCATCAAGATGATTCTGACTCGTGGGGATCCCATGTGTATCACAGTGTGATGGCACACAGGGCTTTCAATGGCTTATTTTTCAAAAGTAGATTGCTGGGCCTTTCTTCCAAGGCATCTTGTGGTGGCTAAACCACCAGCCTGTCCGTTAGTGCATTAACTATTTGCACCACCCAGGGACTCCAGTACAGATGCATTGTTACTGTTACTGCTACTGCTACTGAAACAGTCTGTGGCCATTTTCAGTGCAGTGTGTGGGAACTGTTTAGAAAAATATGTCTTCCTTTCATTAATAGGTTGATGTTAGTGGAATTTTTGTTTTACCGTTACTTGAATCCTTCCTTTTGATAGTCCCCTCTGTTGTTGTTGTTGTTTGCCGTCGAGTCGGCCCTGACTCATAGCAACCCCTCCTTGGGTTTCTGAGGCAGTATCACTACGGAAGTAGGATTGCCCAACCTTCCTTCCGAGGAGTGGCTGGTGGGTTTGAACCGCCAGCCTTCTGGTGAGCAGTCAAGTGCCTTAGGCACTATGCAACCAGAGCTCCCTTAGTCCCCTCTAGTAGCTCTCTATAGAATATAGAGATATCACTAGGAGGAAATGGACCAAATTGAATTTCTACCATCTGTGTTTGGAAACTTGTTTAGACTTCAACATTTAATGTTCATTCTGAATTTGCACTAAAAGGCTAAACCGCTGTTTTTCCCTGATTTTTCTCCATCCCACTGCTTATTAGTATGGAGTCTTTCTTCGTGAATATCCCGTGAACCTCAAGCCTGCTGTTCAAGAAACCTTCTGGACTTTTGACTTAGAACCTGCTATATTATCAAGCTTGCCTACTACATATCTAAAATGATTATTTTTGGTTGGTTTTGATGTAAAGTTTGATTTCTATGAAATGTGCCTTTGTTTTTTAATATGCACTCCAAACTAGAAGTGTAGTCAGCCCAGCCCTCATTTTGCACAGTGCCTTTACAGATTTACATATGGGCTGATGAGGAGGACTTCTAAAGCTGTAGAGTGTTGTAATCTAGAAGTAATGTTGTCACTGATTAGTTGCTGTTGATTCCAGTTAAGGAAATTTGTTCTGAGTTAGCTATCTTCTTCCTATGATACTGTCTTCAGAGCCACATTTTAAACCTTTTAGGTAATCTAATTCCCAACTCATGCCTTCCAGAAAGAACATTACTACCTAGCATAAATCTGTGACAACAGGCTGTGCCTTATTTTGATATTTTTATGCATCCCTCTAATTGAATTCACTACTGTTTTATAAGCACTACTGACCCTTTCAATATATTTAAAATAAGATACTGGTAAAGTTTGTTATATGCTCTTATATTAGATATGAACATGTTTACCTTCTTGTTACCGTTAAGTATAACTTGCTAAAAAATGTTATTTTAATCCGAAACAACCACCCCTTTAAAAGTACTGTTTTTATAGAACTGTGGCTGTGACCAAAGTTTCTATTTTGCCAAAAAGTTAAATCCCAGTAATTACCCTGTAAATCTGTTCTTGACAGGTAAGGGCAGAAAAGTGCCAAATGGAACTTCAGAATTAAAACTGTAATATTGTGTTGAACCTGCTACATCTTGGTGGGCCATCCTTGCTTTTGAGCTACTGTACATAATGTAACTCCCAGTTCAGCATTTTCCCAGGGTCTGGGGAAGGTTTGTGCTAGACTTTGTCCATCTCATACTTAGAGATAAGCAGTTTTATCCAGCAGTTTGCAGATTACGAGCTGTGGACTCCAATATATTTAATAATTATGTGAGAAACAATTTTGTAGCTTCAAGTAAGACCTTCTCTGCATTTGATCATTATCTGGCCCAATCCTCTTAGACTATAGCCTTTTGGAGTTTGTTTCCAATTTTCACTCCATTTTTCACTTCCTGATCAGTGTTCTAAATTTTGCTTTCAACTATGCATTGGTCAGGGGTGGATGACAGAGGATAGCTAGCTAACCAAACCCTCTTCCATGTCATAAACTGTCTGCATAGGATGCTGCTTGGGAATAACTTCTGTCATTTGAGGGACTTTGTTGTGTACTGTGAGACTTTCAACATCAGGGTATGTGGCTTAAAGATGGGAGTGCAGGCATGAAGGAAAACAGAGGCTTCACCATGCTGTGGCTCATTGTTACTGGAATGTTATAAAATTCTTAATCACATGTTATTATGTGACTCACAAACAAGAACAGTTGAAGTGCACCAGGACATGGCTTCCATTTCTTTAATACCTGTTGAAGACTTGCTTTACAGTGTTCCCAACTGTGAGCAGAAAGCAGCTGTCCATGTTGGGACATTCACTGTGCTTAGCACAGAGCCTCTGGCCAGCTCTGACTCTGATCCGTGGTGCTCTCTCCTTGGCCTCAATGCTCAGTCCCATGTAACCCACTGGCTCCTACATTAACCCAGAATATCTTGCTTGTGTCTGTGTACTTAGCTGGGAACTTGCCCACTATAATGGACTGAATAAAGTGTTTATAAACATAATTCTATCTCCTGTGTTCCTTGTAGATGTGTAGCTATGACAGCTGCACCTGGACCAAGTTCTATAAATGGTGTCCCTCGCTGTTCTCCCTTATAAACGCCCAGACTACTCTGTTTCTTCCCCACTCTGACCAGTCTACTCCCCTGGTGCTGTTTCCTAGTTCCCTGTGTTGTAGAACAAGATGTTTTCCAAACCCAAGTGAATAGAAGCAAAGTGCTTTTCCAAATAGGAGATGAGTGGGGACTGATTTCCACATGATTACCAAAATTTTCAGGATTTGACTGTTTGGTTACCTACATACATGGTCTTTCAAAAGTGATGGGCAGAGTCAGCCCTATGGATGGTAGACTAGATAGCTGCCTGCCTGGGCTGTGGGGAAGGTAAGTTTGGATAGTGAGTGAGTTTTCCCCTGAAAAACCTGTCTCCTCCAAAAAGGCTGTGTTCATTAGGACTCTTGGTTGCAAGTGATGGAAAGTGATGTAATAAAAAAGACTAGGCCTGCTAATCTGATAGAGCCTGGTGAGGCCCCTGAGTCTGTGGCCCCTCCCTTCAGGTCTGGGCTTGAACTCACGCCCATGGCTTCCAGCCAAACAATAGACAGGTGTATAGAATGAACATTGACATCAGGTAGATACACTCCTACTCCTTAGAGCAATCAATTGTGGGAGAATGGAGGGCCATGCTTACACAAGGAGATAGCTCTGGCAGGGGCTTAGGGCAGGAATGCATAGGAAAGAAGGACACCGGGAAGAGGTAACTAGAGGGAAGAAGTGGGAAAAGCTGTTACATTGTGCAGGATTGCAGTCAATGTCATGAAACAAACTATCAACTGCTGTGTGGAAAATGAGCTTGTTCTGTGAACTTTCACCCAAATCACAGTAAAAATTTTTAAATATATATATATGTTTAAGGAGCTCTGGTGGCATAGCGCCTAAGGCATTTGCGAACCAGAAGGCTAACGGTTCAAACCCACCAGCCACTCCTCGGAAGGAAGACTAGGCAATCTACTTCCGTAGAGATACCGCCTCAGAAACCCAAGGAGGGGTCACTGTGAGTCAAATTGACTCATATATATATAATGGGTGATGGTAGACCCATATGTTTTTGCCTTTATTTACAGTGTAATGCCAGTTTCCTCTAAAATGCTGTTGAGAGATTTCTGGTACAGCCAATCCACTTTTTTCCAGCTTTGGTTACTGTTTTCCTGTTATATTAGTAAAAAACCTACTACCATTGAGTTTCAACTCATAGGGACCCTGGAAAAGAATGAACTGGAATTATTCTGTTTGTGACTTATATATAAAGAAATCTATATGCACTTTTGGTGTCATTTTCAAGATTTTGAAGGAAAATATATCTTTATAATAAATGAGTTCCTCTTTCTTTGTCTCTCCCTTAAATGTCAGTGTTCCTCAGGGCTGGGTCTTAAGCCCACTTTTTCTGTTCTACTTAATTCTTGCTAGGCAATCTTATCTAGTCCTCTAATTTCTGTAATTGTAATATATTGATAACTCCTGGCCTCTCAAACTCGAAATGCCCAAAATGGAATCAATCATTCCCCTGCCTTTTGCTCCTCTTATCATTGATAGTACTAGTCTGTCTTGGAGAGTGGCACTATCATCCATCCAGTGTCAGAGCTAAGACAAGTCTCCCCAACTTGGAAGTATTTTTGATTGCCATATCATTTAGGGTATGTTGAGAGTATGCTGTACAGCCAACATCTCCCACATCACAATGACCTAACATAAAAGTTTTTTTCTTTGCTCATATTGCATGTCCAGTATTAGTCAGCAGAGTCACCAGGGAGGGACTTCTGTAAACATCTGTCCCAAGGTTATCACTGCCCTTGGAGGGACCACGATGAATTGCCTGGAAGCGGCACAAGCAGTTCTAGACACATGTTATTGGCCAAAATAAGCCATATGACCGGCCTAACCTTAGAGGAAGGAGCCCTGATGGTATAGTGGTTAAGCACTCAGCTGCTAACTAAAAGGTTGGCAGTTCGAATTCACCCAGAGGCTCCACAGAAGAAACATCTGCCAGTCTGCTCTAGTAAAGATTACAGCTTAGAAAAAGCCCTTTGGTGCAGGGATTGCTATGAGTCGGAATCGACTGGATGACACCCAACAATAACAACCACCTCAGGTGATGGGTGAAAGCAGTTCCTTGGCACTGGATGGAGACATGGACTGTTGGGGACCAGCCCTGAGAATGCCATGTTAGCCTTTTATGACTGATTTTAAAAAAAGTTGGGGCAAATTCCCTTTATCGCATGAGTATTTTGTGGTGAGTTGTGTTGCCTATGATAATTTTATATTTGCATCACTAATAATATAGGAGCTTTGGTAGCATAGTGCCTAAGGCATTTGACTACTAACCAGGACGCTGGCGGTTCAAACCCACCAGCTGCTTCTTGGAAGGAAGGTTGGGCAATGTAGTTCCGTAGAGATACTGCCTTGGAAACCCAAGGGGGGGTCGCTATGAGTCGGGTCTGACTCAACAGCACATAACAACAACAACAATCACTAATAAAATATTTTTAAAGGTAGGTATTTTTTACTGATTTTGAGTGGGACTTAATTGTTTGCTTTAAAATTGAACAGGTTGCTTAGTGTATTTAAAGGTAAGCATACTTATTTACAACTGAGCTAGATTTCATACTAGAAGAAAACTCAACCTGTAAAGCTACAATTTACTAAAAAAAAAAAACAATTATGACAATCATTTGTTAGAAGATTTTTTTTTTTTTGAGTCTTTAAATGGCAAGTTAAATGCATTTAAAATCTGCTAATTATCTTCATACTGCTAAGGCTAAACCTAATCCCCTATATTCTGCCTTCATATCTATGAACAGTATCCCTGCTCTTAGCCAGGACTCTAGTCACCACCTTGAATGGAGGCCTTCTCTTTACCAGTTATCTATTCCCTCTCCTGCATCATTTCTCCTTCTCTATTGGCTCATCCCTTCAAACAGGTCCTAATAAGTGATCTCTTTTCCAAGCCCTCTGTTGATCCTGCATCCCTCCTTCCAACAAACAAATGTTTCCTTATATTCCTTTCAGAAAAGATCCTCCATACAGTTGTTTATACTCATTGCCTCACTTCCTGACTTCCCACTTTTTCTTCAGTCCTGTGGTGCGATGAATTACTTGGTATGGCTTTTCTAGCCAGTCTTTGTGACTCCCACCAGATTACTCGGTTGTTGTTGTTGTTGTTGTTATGTGCCGTCGAGTCGGCCCCGACTCATAGCGACCCCTCCT